GCTTTGAGCAAGCAACGAACTATCGTCTTTTATGCCTTCAGCTCATGTAAGGCCGCAGTCAATGCTCACATAGCGTGCAGACTGCGTGTTACGTCTTTTTACACCTTCATGCGCCGCATTGCGCCCACAATTTGATGTACATTTGTCGCCTACACCAACGGGCTGCATCTCCGTAGTTCCTCAAACGTAACTCGTACAACATCTGAGTATTGTTGAATGGTGCTGGTAATAGCCCTCCCCATCCCTAGTCTGTTTTCGGTAACTGAATGTAAGCTCTTCAGAGATAGTCCCTGCGCTCAACCACTTCCTATACATCCTTCCTTGGGCAAGTGGTCTGGCCTGCAGTCTCTCCTGCCCCACTTTCGTCGCTTCAAAAGTAACGAAGGCCCTCATAAATGGCAGTTTCGATGCCTCCCTAGGTTTTCCGGCCCCACTACAACTCGAAGGCTATTTTCTGTGACGAGTTAAGTTTTTACATTGTGGTTTTCCTTTTTCCTGTTAGATTACTAGCAGTGACGCGAAGAAAATAGTTAGTCAGAAGCATCAGTATCCCACTTTGCTGGCATGAAACGAGTCGGTCCGAACAGTTCTTACCGTGATGCTGCCAGAGGGTAATTGCTTAGGGTGGTGTCCATGATCTTTTCTTTTTCTTCACTAGACAGCCACTTAGCGACTATAGTTTTGTAACTGAACGCTACTATCCATAATGTGCAATCGCGTGGTTTGTCCTCGACTAGATCGCAACTCTTTCGTACCCCATTTTATGCTTGTCACTTTTGAACGGAGCATTCGTTCATAAAATCCTTCTTTAGACTGAAATTTTAATGCACTTTATTAGCGTCAGCTCTGTACACTTCAAATTTGAACCAGTGTTCTGTATGCTTGCCACATACGTCAGTCTCAAGGGAGCCGTTGTAAATTTAACGATGGGCTCATCCAGTATTAGTGAGAGGGTTGCATAATGATGAAAGCCTTTGGGGTCGCAGATGAGAAGTGTTCGGGTAGCGGGAATGCTGAGTGTTATGAAAACTGAAGATTTTTATTTTCCTCAAGAATTGATGAACGCTTTTTAAAAAATTTAAGCTCTTTAATTTTTAAAAAAATTAAAATTTGCGATTGAGTTGAACTGTTGTTTGGAGAAGCTGTTAAGCAGTGAGTGATTGTTCATCAGATAGTTTTCATTAACACTGTCTCATCATTTTCATTTCAATTCTTTCTGAAAATGTGGAAAATCTGCGATTCGGGGAATCAGCAGCAAAGAGACAGTAGGCTAAAATTTTATGAATATTCGATGTACTTAATTTGTTCAAAGTGGAGTGTCAAATCTGTTCAAAGTGGAGTGTCAAATCGAAGAAATTGTGCATTTTCGTTGCCCTCTCATTTCTCCATTTGATTATTAGGTTGTTCAGAAGCTCTCCGACATTTGAAGCCTAAATTTAGTACTGCACAAAAATGAAACAACCACAGCTAGTCATTTGAAATATGCTCCATTATTATCTATGGTCTTTTGCCAACGAGTGGGTAGATCGTAGATGCCCTTCCTCCAGAACGTGGTTGGCTGGGCTTTGAAGAATCATCTAGTGCCTTTTCGACGTCGTCGTGGGTTTTGAATTTTTGACCAAATATTCCGCGCTACTCTCAATCTCATCTCTTGGTTGCTGTCAAGGGACCACTGAAATTTGCTAAATCAAGTAGAATAACAGGAAAATCCGAAAAATCATGGTGTGATGAATTAGCTTTCCCAAACAACAGTCACTTTCCGCAAAATTGTTTTGCCTGAATGACACACTCCACGAATACCTGCGAGGTGGATTCTTTCCCAGAGGGAGCTGCTCCGTAGTAATAGGGGAGTAGCTCTTCGCTTACTTCAAAGTGCGCGAAAACGAAATTGGAAGGTTGTGATAGCTTGATATTCCTTATCTCTGCATCCGCTGTTCGATACACTGCGCACGCCACACGTTGTGGGCTCGATGTCAACACGTTTCCGTTCGCTGCGGGAACTGAATGACCAGGGAGCTGCACTGAATGTTTTGACACGCTTCCGAGGTGGAGTGTAGAGAACGGTGGCGCCCTAGCCGTACGTGAAAGTGCACAAAAGTACCGCCACTGTCTGCCATCAGGTGTACGTCTGGCCGTGTGGCGCATGCTGAATGTTGCGTATCGAATGGTAGTTAGAGAAATAGAGAACATCTAGCTATCATAGCCACAGTCTTCTTTTCTGGGACCTTTTGGTGGCGAAACTGACACTTCTACAAATACAGATCCACGTACCTCGCCGTTGCTGAGAATCTGCCTCGCAGGTGATCATACCGTGTCCATTTACGGGTTTTTCTGCCACACTTCCTTTCACTCTGAAACAGTGGTTTGCTCAGGCTGCGTTCGTACTTTGCGCCAACGTCCACCAGCGATCTCCAGCGTTTCAAGCGTCCGTCTGCACCAGCGACTAGCAAAAAGATATCGATCCAGCGAATGGCAGCGTCCAGGAGTGCAATGTGAGGGGAATTATACAGTAAAGGGAAGTAGGAGGGAGCAGACTGATGGGATTAGGCGTCGTGAAATCACGGTGTTTGTAACCGCACTGCACTACCAGACGATACCGTACATTGATTGCATAATTCTATGATGTAAGGTTGCATACGTCCCAATTTCACGACGCTTAATCCGATTGTCTGCCTCTCCTAACCCATACTCTCCAATCCGGAAGCTGACGCTCGTAAGACCAATATCCATATCGCTGGCGCTGACGGACGCTCGAAAGCTGGTGGTCGCTGGTGTACGCTGCCGCAAAGTATGAACGAATTCTCAGAAGTGCGCTGAACGGTATGCTAGTTTGTATTTTCAGTGAGAGCGTATGGGTTCGAGTAGCGGTTTGATCGTTGCCGGGATTGCCGGTGCGACAGCCATTGGCATCTCGTTTGCGGCGATTCCGTTTCTCACCCCTGCGCTGCGACGCGTCTGCATACCCTACGTACCCGCTACCCCACCACAACTCAAAAATGTATCCATCGCTCTTGCCGAGCACATTCCGAAGCCAAGCCCACTTATTGATCTAGGATCTGGAGATGGACGTGTTGTGAGTTCAGTTATTTCATTCAGTTTCACTTATTTCAGATGAAATTTGGCGAGCAATTGGCGAGCCATTTGACGCCAGAATGGCGAAAGCAATACATCGACTATGAAGCACTCAAGCATCTTCTCTACGACAACATGTTGGAAGTGCCGTCGGAGGAAGACCGTAGAGAAGAGCATATTGCTCAGATGGATGAGAAATTTTTCAATGAGTGTGACAATGAGCTGACTAAGATCAACTTATTTTTTTCACAAAAGATAGCAGAGGCCCAAGGCAAATATCATGAATTGCAAACCGATCTACAAATGTTCAAAGAGGCTATTCAGACGCGGACTGAGCCCACCACCCTAAGGAGAAGATTCGGTGCACGTGACAAACTTCATAAGGAAACTGCAAAAACTAGCCAGCAGCTCAAACTTGCTTTCTCAGAGTTCTACCTCAGTTTGGTCCTAGTGCAGAACTTTCAACAACTGAATGCAACCGGTTTTCGGAAGATTCTCAAGAAGCACGACAAGCTAACTGGAAATGAACGTGGATTGGATTGGCGAATAAACAAGGTGGAAAAGAGTTCCTTCTTCCTGAATCGTGAAATTGAGACGCTCATCAACAACGTCGAGACGTCTGTGATTAACGAGCTCGAAGGCGGCAATCGTCAAGCTGGTATGAAACGCTTGAAAGTGCCCCCACTCTCTGAAAAGCAAAAACCAATCACAACGTTTTCCCTTGGTCTGTTCATGGGAGCCAGTATGATTTTGATTCTTTCAATTCTGCTATCATGGTGGGGTGCAGCAGCTCGACCAAATGAACCTCAGTGGGTAGCAGTACGGCTCTTCCGTGGACCATTTCTGCTGTTTCTTTCGATCTTCATGTGTGGAGTGAACATGGCTGGTTGGGCTAGTGCTGGTGTAAACCACGTGCTCATCTTCGAAGTGGACCCTCGACACCATCTTTCGTATCAAACACTCATGCAAATCGCTGCCTTCATGATCATGTTGTGGGCATGTGCCGTGCTCGCGTATCTTTACGCCCATCTCCTGCACATACCAGCATTCTCACCTCCCTTAGCACTTATGATTATCTGTGCTGTTGTTATGTTCAATCCACTTTCAAAGCCAGATTACCTGTTCCATAAGAACTCCAGATGGTGGCTCATTCAACATTGTTTCAAATGCTTCACTGCTCCACTGCACTTTGTCACATTCACGGATTTCTGGCTTGGTGATCAGATGAATTCGCTGACGACATCATTTCTTGACTTCCAGTACTTTCTCTGTTTTTATTCCACCGAAGTAGATTACTCTCCGGATAACTTCCTTGCTGTACGAACGATCAATTCGACAACAGGAGCAGTACCGTGGGGTTATGTCGACATCACCACCGGCAAGGACATGTGTATGTCAGCATCTGGAGTACGGTCGTTCGTTTCGATTATACCTGCCACGGTTCGATTTATGCAGTGTTTACGACGATATCGAGACACAAAACGAGTCCATCCACACCTTGTCAATGCGGGAAAGTACTCTACTACGTATCTGGTCGTCGCTTGTGGTGCTCTCAATAAATGGGCCGAAAAATCCGATCCTAATGGCACTTCGCCTTTCTTCTATATCTGGATCGCGTCCTATATCCTGTCCTTCACCTACACCTTTTTGTGGGACATTTTCATGGATTGGGGTTTGATCGATCCGCGAGCACCGAAAGAAGCGCCGTTCCTGCGTGAAGAAATGATTTATGGAAGCAAGTTCTACTACTATGCTGCAATTGTCCAAGATTTCGTTCTGCGACTTTCTTGGGTTCTCAATGTCTCTCTTGGTGAGGCGTGGACGCTCGATTCAGACTTCCTGACCACGGTCACAGCTCCAGCTGAAGTGTTTAGGCGTTTTATCTGGAATTACTTTCGACTGGAAAATGAGCACGTGAACAATTGCGGTCAGTTCCGAGCAGTACGTGACATCTCCGTGAAGCCGATACGGAAAGGAGACCTAGAGTCCTTATTATCGAAGATGGATCAGTTTGATGGCGTAACCCATAGAGGGCAGGATTTGGCTGAAAGAAAGAAAAAGCAAAAGAAAGCCCAGAAGACGACCAGGGTTCTGTTACGAAGGGCTCGTCAACACCGTGTGACAGTTCCCATTACCTCTGCACCCATCACTACACACCTTGTTGAAACACAGCAATAGTCCATTAGGTTCGCTAGTTTCTCTTGCCAAAGGTTATCATCACTAACAGTGATTTTACATTCACGAGTTGTGTTTCTTTCTCACATCCACTTTGCTTTATGGTCTTATTTTCCTTAAGCACATGCTGTCCGAAGAGCTAACTCATTTATTCACTTGCGTCGTTAGATATCTCATGCAGTAATCATTCCAATAGTGCACATTTCATTGTTGTTATCGATGTTTGCTCAATGTTTAATGTTGACAAATAAGTCGAATACGGCTAGTCCCACATGGAGTTTTAATGTATATTATATATTTATATTGTTTGTATGTGAATCTGGTTCTATTCCTGATTCATCTCACGTTGTGAATCTTGAGAATGTTGTACTTAACTGCGACTAATATGAACAAATTCGTTAGAGAGGTCTCGTCAGTTCTGGTCGAATGGTCTCGCAGCCATTGGTCGATATTTGCATTGAGTCCATTACTATTCAGAATAGGTTCGTCAAAGGCTGAGTCCGCGTTCAAATATGATTATGAGTGTCAGATAGTAGTAACAAGGTGGCAAGTGATTCAGTAGTCAAGAAAATTCAAAAAATATGTCTAGAACCCCATGTCATCTGAGGTGTGCGGGCACAAGGCGGAGGGGCGTGGTCGGACGAGTTTTCACTGTTTGTGCCAGCTCTTTCTCCGAATCATCTCACTCGCACTATTCAAACTGGAGCGAACTAGTAGGGGAACAACCGGGCAACAGTTAGGACTCCACGAGAGGTCAGCCTGCCGCCGCGACGCGACGGAGGAGAGGTGGCCCGCGATGTTTTCGCTATGTGCGCGGCGTTTGCATAGTCCATTAGATTTCCAACAGTCTGCTTTATTACTTGCAGGTGTGAAAACTATGAAAGGAGTGGGCCCGATGTTCAACTTTAGTATAACAACGTCCATTTACATAGAAATAATATTTAGAGAATGTATCAGCAAGCTACAAAAATTCATTTTAGGGTGAATCCTTCTTTTGCACTCAATTGTAAGGTATTGTAAGGGCCTAAGATTTGCGGCCAGACGGGAAAAGTAGGTAGTATTAAAGAAATACTGCAATCCAATTCATAATGCAATGAGTGTTGAATAAATACAGCTGCCATTCAAAAATATTGACGTCCCATTGAATATTCTAGTTTGGCAAAATGCCAAGCAGATTTGCGTGATGCCAGAACTATGTGAAGGGACCGGGATCTTAATCGCACGACTGTATGGGTCTCGTCCAATCACGGCAGCAATCGCCGCGCGCGGCGAGGCGAAACATGGCAGCCGTGACCTCTCGTGGAGTCCTAACCTACACCCGGAACAACCCCACCATCACGCAACAATTAAAAATGAATATTGGGCGTTGTAGCAGTCAGGTGCGCAAGCGGCAGCATCTTAAAGAGAGAGAGGAGCTATATTAAGAA